ACACAATTCATCTTTTGATATACTGATGCTGCACCAAACCACAAGTGGACTGACTACCTGTGGTTTGTTGACATCTAGTCAATGCAGATTCAGGCTGACTCCACGATGCAGAGTAAAACTGCCTCACAAAGGTGTCAAGGCAAGGAGATGTACAGCTCTGCTGTATTCAGAGGGACGTTCAACAAACTAACCTTCCAGCTCACAGCTGAGAGCAAAACCACTAGCTGCACCCTGAGACTGTAAGCCGTTCTTACTTCACTCAACAATCTCTATTCTCCACGTATCTTGTAAATAATTGCTCAAATATAACGATATGCTACCCATAGTGCTGCAGCATTAGAACAATACACATTCCACTATAAAAGTTCAATGAAAGCTCTCAATAGTGAGCAACTCAATGTCCATATGACAGCACGTTCAAAATACTTCAGATTAGCAATTCCATTTCAATCAAAAACTCTACTAGGTGTTAAGGGAAATAATGGTCCCTGCACAAGAGAAAGCCTGTAATAATTAATCTCAAAACAGTTTAGGCTAAGTAAGGACGAGGCGTAGAATATTTTATAAAACCTGTTTCACTTTCAGTACTATACAATGTTTAAGTAAAAAAAAAAAAACAGCAGCAATAAAAGCTAACCTCAATTAGGAACATTCTGCATAAACGTACTTGAAAAATATTATGCTTGACCTGGTAATCCCTTCCTGATAACACCGAGACCTGAACTAAGGACCCACTTGACCCCAGCATTTCAATGTCAGTACGGAGAAATATCAAGAATCTCCTCCTCGTTTCCAGAGCGAGCACTGGAGATAGGTCAGTTTTTCGGATGAGATTAGAAAATGATATAAAAGGCTGAGTCCTTTCTCCTGTGTTCACCGGCGCCCCAAAGAGCTCTCCCAGGGCCTGGACAACCAGAGGTCTTGGGTTTCTCTCTCCTGCAGACCTCGCGAGCAACAGCATGAATTTGGACGCCATCAAGGGAGGCCTGCCTGTCCCTGCAGCAGGCAGCAGGGGAAACTGGTAACCAGTGAGCCGGACAGAGGGGGAAACCTTGTCCCGCAGGACTGGGCACAGGGCGCCGGGCGCAGACACGCCTCCAGCCCCCCACTCGGAGAGCCAGCGCCGAGCCCAGCACGCTGCCGGACAGGTTCAGTCCTGCAGCGGCCAGAGCATCACGGCCAGCCGCACGCGACTGACCTGTGCCTGCTACCGCGCCACCGCCGCTCCTGCCGCAGCCACCGCCTCCAGGGGCTCACGCGGCCCACGCAGCCACCGTAGTCCCCTCCTGCTGGGCGATCCGAGCAGGCCTCCAGAGCCCCATCCCCACCCCGCCCAGCCGCCGCCTGTTTACAATGACTGGGAGGAAACCAAACGCGCCGCGCCAGCACGCAGGCGCACTCCTCCTCCCGCCGCAGCCGGCTTCCCGGGCCGGTGGCCGGCTAAGGCCCTGTCCCGGGACACGAAGGGAGTTGTAGTTTTCGCACTCTCGAGGTGCAGTCCTTATGGAACAGCTTGGGGACGAGACACACTACAACACCCAGGAAACACCGCGCTCCCTTCTGCCCGGGCTTGCGTTGGTGACGAACTCGAGAGGGCGCCGCGCTGGATTTGTCAAGCGCCTGAGCAGTTCCGGTCGGGGTTGGGGAACGTGGGTTGAGCCCTCACTTACCCTCAAGAAGTGGAACTGAAGGTGGAGTTGGAAGGGTCTGCGCTGTGGTCTTGAAAGAAAAAAAAAAAAAAAGAGAGAGACTTTGGGTGTGCCCTTGCCCCCCTGCACCCGCAGCATGCGAAGCTCTGGTCTCTTGCATGCTTGCGTGCTTCCTTGTGTGAACCAGTCCAACGAGCTACGCAGCCCGCTTTTGGGTGGGGCAGTCTACCAGTGGCACTGGGTGGGGATCAGGCACTTTGGGTGTGGACTCTTATTTGAGAGTTTTGAGAAAAGAGCAGGGGGGAAATGCGCGTTATACAACTTTTGTGGGTACTATCCCCAGAATTCCGCGGACGACTGGACAGGTCCGAGAGCGGAACTGCAGTTTTCCGCCCTGCCTGTGCTTTCTGGTAGCGTGCTCACTGGAGAGTTGCGTTGCTAACCGAAAGGCGCATTTAGATCCCACCTGAGGTCCGCGGGAGAGGGGCGGTCTCCTCCCACTGCATAGCACAGCCTCGGGATCCATCAAGGGTCAAGTTGCCTTTTTGCCACACTGTAAGTGATTTAAGTGCTGGGATTATTTAGGAATATCAAGTGACCCCCTCTGGGAAAAAGACAGGGCAGCCTGCACTGCTGAAGATTTACAGCCCAGGTCATCAAAGCCCTGCTCCAGAGAAGAAGCTCTTCCTTTGATGCACACTGATTCCATGGTCCTTAGGAGCTACTCTGTTAATACAGAAGTACTCCGGTGGTTCCATTCCACCAGCCGAATGTTTTAAAGCCTCCCGCTCGAGGTTCAGTTTCAGTTTTGAGTAAGTTCCGACTCCATGGCAATGAACTTGAGGTTTTGAATGCTTATTGAGGGTTGAAAACCAGGTTGGTTTGTTGGTAGTTTATTAGAGAAAAGATAAAGATGAGAGATAGAGCCTATCACAATCACTTCCATTCCTAAGTGACCACTGTGATCCATTCTCCAAGATCAGTTTTTCTAAAATCAGACAAATCAGCCTCCTGTGTTCTGCACCCTACCGAGTAAAGTTTAGCCTAGAAGCCTTGCTGCAACAGTTGTTAAAGCACTACACTACAACCCCAAAAGTGCGCTTTACTCTGTTGGAGAAAGATGTGACTAGTAAACTTCCACAAATATTACAGCCTTTGAAACCCAGTGGGGGTGTTTGTATACATATTGAATACGTATCGAGAAAGGATACGGTCCTGAAGAAGGCACGGTTTGATTTTAACCATGCAGTGCTGCCTTGCTCTGTTCCAAAATAGTTTTTTGGTCTAGGTTTCATATATTCTCTTCAATGTTACCCATAGTCAGTTACAATCGACACAGTCAAATAGTTTTGCATAGTCTCTAAATCACAGGAATTCTCTTTCAGCCAAGATTCTTCTGACATCATGATATCCCTGGTGATAGAGCCTCTTCTAAACCCAGCTTGAATTTATGGTTGTTCTCTGTCAATGTTATTATTAATTTCAATGAAAATTTACAGACTTTGGATTTCCTTTCATTCATTGTTGCACTTGCTCTAGCCATTTTTAAATTACAATAATGAATGACCTTGTTCCATAATTTCCACATTCTGTTGGATCACCTTGCTTGAGGATGGGAATAAATCCAGATCTCTTCTGGTCAAGTGGACAGGCAGTTGTCCTCCAATTTTCTGGGCACAGACTAGTGAGTATGTACAGGGCTACATCTGCTAGTTGAAGCATGCATGTCATTGATACCTCACTAATTCCTGGGATATTATTTTTTGCCAATGCCTTCAGTGAATCCTGAAACTCTTACATCATCACCATTGGCTATTTTATCATATGCTACTTCCTGAATTTTTTCAGTGTCAACAAACTTTTTGGTACAGTAACTCTATGTATTCCTTCCATTTTCTACACACCCCCCCCATCTTCTTTTGCTACTTCCTGGATCATTCAAGGTTTTGCCCATAGCATCTCCCAGTATTGCAACTTGAGACTTGAATATTTTTTCAGTTCATGCAGATTAAGAGATGCTGGGCGAATTTTCCCCATTCTTTTTTTTTAATTGGGAAAAGCATATTGGGGGTACAAGGAGGTGAGGGTTGGGCGAAGAAGGGTGAAGATGGGCCAGGGTGCAGTTGCAGAGCTGCACAGTGTGGTCAGTGGGGGGAGCAGGTGAAGGAAATGATGAGGGTCCAGTGGGGACCAGATGCTACAGAGGAATGACAAGCATTTTCCAATAGTAAGTAAACCAACTATCTTATCGATTTGGGAATTGGATGCCGACTCTCTGGCTTCTTCATGCTGAACAGGGGCGTAGATGTAAAGGGGGGAAGAGAGGACGCTTTATCACCTTACTGGTGGTCTTGGGTTAAAGCTGCTTGCCTTCTTGCTCTGTTAGAAGATATTTTCCTGTCATTTGCTCCCCTCTGGACTGCAAAGTGTTTTCCCAG